AGCATGATCCATCAATACTCTCACAACCTAAACCCGTGAGCCATGACCGGCGCATAAGTCATATAGGCAAAGCTCACGATACCTAAGTAAGCCTTACATAGATAGGGAAATACATAGACATAATCAATATTCTACAAGTCTTGAGAGATGCATTTCATTACACCAATATGAGCGTAGTATTAACACATGGCCCATAATATATATATATATATATATATATGCATCAACTAACAAGAATACAACCATGTACTATTCGCAAAAGTCATACAATGGTTATCATGGAGCGTTCAAGCCCTACCAAAATAAACCGAGGTATATAAATCATAATGGCAACTCAATGTTGCCAAAATAAACAACCAACATCTAAACCAAAACCAGCAGAATGGACTCATAGTCAAAATCCATACCGAATGCCAAAAGTGTCGATCTAGCTTACTAATGCTAACCACTTTTTACCTTCATGGGAGACCCCATAAGCTAGTTATCTATACATGGAAACAAGATGTTAAGGTCAATTCTTATTAACTCAGTGAGTGGGCAAATAATCAATATGCATAAATAATAAATTGAAGATATGCAATTATTCATCAAACCCATTGGAGCACACATTTGCTCATTATTCAGTTTACCAATAGCATCCATGCATCATTAGCAAAGTGGTAACAAGAGAAAGGCCCTCCCAAGTAACAAGACATGTCAAATGACGAAGCCATTGATGGTAAACAAGACAACGAGGATAGTGACTCCCTCTAACTAGACCATATCATCATCCAAAACGTGCTCATCAGACGAAAATCATGCACACCTCAATGTAAATAGTAACTCATTTCATAGCCAATAGTAACATATATACGTAGATGAAAGCAATAAACCAAAGCTATCACAATTAATGGTAAACATACATGCATAATAACATTGACAATATTAATCCAAGGCACTAAGCAATAAGCTTGTGCAACATATAGAGAATTCATTGAACATAATCATAGTCAAGCTCAATCACCACAAGTGGCTCATTCTATATACACTAGTTCAACTTACTAACTATGACTTAATTATGTCCCATCAATTCAAACAAATTGTGGAGCACTAGCTAAGGATAATCCAAATGACTTAGTGTCGTTACACTAAAACGGTCTAGTACATATAGTCACCGACCACATAAAGTGGTAGAACTATATTAGCTACCAATATCCAATGAATCTCAAGCTTATTCAGCCATTGACTCTATATCAAAGGGTAGAACTCCGTTAGCTACCAATCAAAGAGAGTCCCAGGCTTGTTCAGCCATTGACTCAAGCTACAAATCATTGTGCACAATGGCTAACATTTATTGTCAATAGCTACTGGTCCTTATCACAATTGGCTCCACCAAACATATTACAATTAATTCAATTATCAAAAGCTTATTCCAAACACAAGGGTGATCCAATCATCAACATATCATAGAGGTTGAGACATAACAAAATCGTGGTCAATCAACCAAATTCATAATCTCATAGACAAGATGTCCAAAGGCTATGGTATCATCAATGTAAAAATTAGTTTCTCATATCAACATTCAAATCATCAATCAAACATCAATCACAGACAAATGTCATGTTTGAGATGTCAAAAGTTTGAAAGGCATATTCCCTATGCTTCAAACTAACACATAGTAGACATATTTACATAGTATATAACTTTCATCAAAACATATTGTAAACCCTTGTTCACATCCAAATCCATCAAAACTCATTTCTATGCAAAGTTATAGATTAGCCATGCTTATTTATATCAAAATAATTAAAAGCATCGTATCTACCCACCCTGATGAAGCGTGCCTCTCCTTTAGAACCTTTCATTGAACACTCGGTTTTCCAAAAGCTTAAACTCTTTCAATAGCACCTAACACAAAGTTTCAATCATAAATACTTGGTTCTCTAACAAAATCTTAGACCAATAATTATATAATCTTCACAAATATATTCCAATAATTTTTTAATCCACAAATCAATAACTAATCTAATGCTGACTAAAAGATTTAAACTACCACTAGCTAGAGTTAAGAACAACTTTACCTTGGTGAGCTTGAGAGTTCCAAACCAAATCAAAACCTAAGTTTTCATGACAAAAAATGAATTTTTGAGAATCCATACTTTTAGAAAATCATAACCAAGATTTTTGAGGTTTAGGATAAAAAAACTTTACCTTCCAAAGTCTTTAGCATCTAAATCTAAGCTTGAAGATGACTTTTGAATGCTTGAAATCCATAGATTTGATGAAAATTAAAATTAAAGTAAAAGAAAGAAGAGGGTGGCTGGGTTTTAATGAAAAATACATTATTTCCCAAATAAGGAAAAGTTTGAGGTTTTAGAGACATTAAATGAGTGTGAAAATTTTAAATACCTTTTCTTTCAAGTTTGTGCGTAATGCATCGATAGATTTAAATCTATCTATACATTCGATTTTGAATGGAAGTTATTAATAAATTTCTCAATATACCGATAAATGTTCTTCAAAAACCCTTTCTAGGTTTGATCTATGGATACATGATGAACATGTGTCGATAGATTTAGTCTAGAGTGCCACTTTTGAGTTCAAAACCTACCCATTTGACCTTGTAAAGGTCCCAACTTCCATATAAACACATTTGGTTATTAAAACATGACATTTCTAAGTTATTATGGTCCACAAATCATGTTTAAAACTTCAAATTAACCATTCACCAAATTAGGTTACAATTCTAACCTTAAGTACAGAGTGGGGTTTCACATTCTAATTACTTATCTTATAGTTGATTGTCTTAAGCATTCTGAGCTTTAACAAAAAAGGTTGAAAAGGATAAGATTCCAAAACATATTCAAGAAGCTTTTGAAAACCCAACATGAAAAGCTACTGTTCTTGAAGAAATGAGAGCCCAAAAAGGGAGTGAAACTTGGGATATAGTGGAGTTACCTGAAGGTAAATAGGTGTTTCCCATTAAGAATAAGTTAGATGGTGAAATAGAGGGACACAAGGCTTGTCTAGTTATCAAAGGTTTCACTCAAATTTTTAAGGTAGATTACACAGAAACGTTTGCTTCAGTTTGCAAAGTGAAACATTATAAGGGTGTTGCTATCATTGCGCTAATCTTGGTTGGGCACTACATCAAATGGATATCAAAACTGCCTTTCTCAATGGAGAGCTTGATAAGGAGGTTAGATGGATTTGCCTCCAAGTTTTGAAGGGGCAAGTGGTAATAGGAAAATATGTAGATTGAAGAAGTCACTATATGGATTAAAACAATTATCGAAAGCTTAGGTTGGCCGTTTTACAAAGACTATAAAGAGGCATGGTTACCATCAAGGACAAACTGATCATACTCTTTTCTTCAAGCAATCACAAGATGGAAAGAAAACTATCTTGATTGTGCATGTGGATGACATTATTGTAATCGAAGATGATATAGAAGAAATGGCGAGGCTTAAGATAACTCTTAAATGTGAATTTGAAATCAAAGACCTTGGCAACTAAGATATTTCTTAGGGATGGAAGTGGTAAGAAGCAAAAACAGGAATATTATCACTCAAAGAAAATACACATTGGATCTTTTGAAATAGATAGGAATGCTTGGTTGCAAGTCAATTGAAACACCCATAGTCATGAACATGAACCTTGGAAAGGCCAAGAGTGGAATTCTAGTAGCTAAGGGCAGATATCAACGTTTAGTGGGAAGATTGATTTACTTGTCTCACACAAGACCGAATATTACATTTGTTGTGAGTGTAGTGAGTTAGTATATGCATTCTTTAAGTGAAGAACATCTTAAGGCAATCAATCGAATCTTGCAGTATCTAAAATCTACACCTGATAAAGGCTTGTTTTCCAAGAAAAATGAGTTGAGAAGTGTAGAGGCATCTACTGTTGCAAATTAGGCAAGTTCTATTAGAGATAGGAGGTCTACATCTGGTTATTATACAAAGGTTTGGGGAAACCTCGTTACTTGGAGAAGCAAGAAGCAACCAATTGTAGCTCGCAACAATACAAAAGCAGAATTTAGAGCTCTTGCAAAAGAAACCTGTGAGCTAATTTGGTCAAAGAGGTTAACGGAAGAATTGAAAATGTCTAATATAAGACTTATGAATCCATATTGTGACAATAAAGCCGTAGTAAGTATTACACATAATCTTGTTTATCATGACCTATGTGCCTACCAAACAACAAAGAACTGATGTTCTAACAAAAAGGTTGCCTAGACTGAGTTTTGAAGTGATAGTAGACAAGCTGGGAATGACCAACATCTATTTACCAGCTCAACAGGGAGTATTGATAGCTCATCAATTTATTTATTTTTATTATATTTCAGATTTGTAAGAATCAGTTCAAGGATATTATTTCTTTTCTCTATTTTCCTTCTTTTGCTAGATTTTTTTTTTGATTTCGTGTTCTCTAATGTCTGGTAATTTACCCGATTCTAAGATCTAGATTTAGATAATTTTTCTTATATATAATTAGCACTAAGTAATTCTAATAAAAAGAATTTTGTTTCATTCTCTGTTTTCATAATCAAAAGTCTAAATTTGGGTATGCTATTTTTGTACTTTATATATAAAAATGTATTCGATAATTCAAAAAAAGAAAACCCAGCAACGGCAAACCGTTTTCCGAGCCTCCTTTCCCATTACAAACCCTTGAAAAGTACATAGTTAATTTGTCTAGAATGACCATCCACACAATAATAGAATGCTTTGAAATGTGGTTATAAAATCACATCAGACTATGCAATGGCAGCTTTGGCAGCTTATGCCATGCTGATGTGGTACACATAGTGTTTTTTGGGATTCGGTTGTTGACTCTGTACAATTTTCTTCAGTGAAGGTGATTCCAAAATCTGTAGGATCATTAAAACAGATTGTGGGTTTTTTAATTTGTAAATTGAACTTGTTATGCCAATTATGTGTTGCTATCATTTTCTTTCTAGACGCGTCTGGCACACTTGATTTAGCCTAAATGTAATAGTGGGGCATGGATTGCTTAGGTGAGAGGCTTTTTGTCACTTGAATTTCTCTTCTCATTTTCGGGTCAAACCCTAAACTGTGCAGAAGATGCTGTCCGATTGTGCCTGGTCTCCATAATATTCTTCATGCATCCAGTTCTCATTTATCCTTGTAAGACACATGATACATACGTATATGGTGTATGCCATCTCCATCATCTCGTTTAGTATTTCAAGGCCTCTCTATATCCGAAATCCAGAAATTCATTCCTAAAAAGTGGAAACAATATGTCAAGCCTGTAGACATTCAATCCAACCAACCATCTGCATCATACAATAACCAAAAGCAAGAGTTGAAAACGTTGACAACTGATGATGAATCTATGTTAGAAAACCTTGTTACATCTCTCAAGGAATTTGTTAGCCAAGGACATCTACTGAAAGCATTCAAATCCTTTTCTCTAATCCAGCAACATGTCTCTTCCACTGCTTCTTATGATGTTATCTTACATCCCATGTCTTCTCTTCTTCTATCCTGTACCAACCTTAAATGGCTTCCACCAGGTAAACAACTTCATGCCCAAATAATCTCTTTGGGTTTGGAACAGCACCCTGTTCTAGTTCCCAAGCTTGTCACATTTTACTCAACATTTAATCTTCTGGACGATGCTCAAGTTGTTACTGAGAATTGTAATTTTTTCCACCCATTACCATGGAATTTGCTTATATCTTCCTTTGTTAAGAATGACCTTTTTGAGGCGGCTCTCTCCGCCTATACTAAAATGGTGAATAAGGGAATCAGACCAGATAATTTTACCTACCCATCTGTTCTTAAGGCTTGCGGTGAGAAATTGGATGTAGATTTTGGGAGGATGGTTCATCACTCGATTAGTGGTAGTCGTCATGACTGGAATCTGTATGTGCATAATGCTTTGATTTCCATGTATGGGAAATTTGGACAAGTGGATGTTGCGCGTGACTTATTTAACAAAATGCCAGAGAGGGATGATATCTCTTGGAATGCAATGATCAATTGTTATGCCTCCAAGGGCATGTGGGGAGAGGCATTTAAGCTCTTTGATTGCATGCGTGCTGAAGATATTGAGCTGAATTTTATAACTTGGAACACTATAGCTGGAGGGTGCTTGCGAACAGGGAATTTTAAGGGGTCATTGGAGTTGCTTTCTCAGATGAGAAGTAGCGGCATTCATTTGGATCCAGTGGCAATGATCATTGGGTTGGTGGCCTGTTCACATATTGGGGCCTTAAAGTTGGGGAAAGTGATTCATGGTTCTGCAATTCGGAGTTGTTGTGATACATTTGGGAATGTTGGAAACGCAATGATTACAATGTATTCCAGATGCAAAGACCTAAGCCATGCCTCTATTGTGTTTCAGTCCATAGAAGAAAAGAGTATAATTACTTGGAACTCAATGCTTTCTGGGTATACCCACTTGGATCGATCTGAAGAAGTGTCCTTTCTATTTCGGGAGATGTTGCTTTCTGGGGTTGAACCGAACTATGTTACAATTGCCAGCATCCTGCCTCTTTGTGCTAGAGTGGCAAATCTGCAACATGGCAAAGAATTCCACTGTTACATAACCCGGCGCAAAGATTTTGAGGACTGTTTATTACTGTGGAATGCACTTATAGATATGTATGCAAGGTCAGGAAAAGTTCTTGCAGCAAAACGCGTGTTTGATTTGATGAGAAAGAGGGATGAAGTGACCTATACTTCTTTGATTGCTGGATATGGGATGCAGGGAGAGGGACAAGCTGCTATAAAGCTATTTAAAGAGATGATTAACCTTCAGATCAAACCAGATCATGTAACAATGGTGGCTGTTCTATCAGCTTGCAGTCATTGTGGTCTAGTAATTGAAGGCCAAATTTGGTTTGAAAAGATGCAAAGTTTCTATGGTATAATTCCCCATTTGGAGCACTTCTCTTGCATGGTTGACCTCTACGGGAGGGCTGGTTTGTTGAATAAAGCAAAGGAAATCATCACAAGGATGCCATACGAGCCAAGCGCTTCCATGTGGGCCACTCTCTTGGGAGCCTGTAGGATCCATGGAAATAGAGATATAGGGGAATGGGCAGCTGAGAAATTGTTGGAACTTAGACCTCAAAATTCAGGTTACTATGTATTGATCGCTAACATGTATGCTGCAGCTGGTTGTTGGAGCAAGCTAGCAAAAGTCAGGAGTCTCATGAGGGATTTAGGTGTAAAGAAGTCTCCTGGCTGTGCTTGGGTTGATGTGGGATCTGTATTTTCTCCATTTGTTGTGGGGAACACATCAAATCCTTATGCACAGGAGATTTACCCAGTATTGGATGGACTGACTGAACTAATGAAGGATGCTGGTTATGTTGCTTGGGACAAGTTTGGTTTGGATGGTGAAGTTCTTGAAGAAATTGAATGAAAATAGGTATTTCTACTAGAGCACGAATCCTTGTGGTTCACTAATATTGTGTTGTAGGGTCCCCAAGAAGAGCAGTGAAAACATAAAGAAGCATACTAGCAGAAAGAGGCTGTAAGTGAAACATTTTTCTCAAGGGGATTCCATGTTGAATAGAGAAAACATAACACAACAACTGGTCCTCAATACTTTGTGAACTTGGAGCATGATGGAACTGTTTTATCAAATTTCTATCTGTTCCCATTTCTGATCACTCATATTTGGTGCCGATATAAGCTGATTCTTCTTAGTCTTTGACAATTTTTGGCAATCCAAGGTCTGTGTAAGCTATTACCATTCTTCAACAGTTATAAGTTAACAGGGTTGAATGACATTTGTTTGCAATGTAGTGAATTTTTTGAAACATAATTAAATATGGACATTTATTTTCCTGTCTCACTGAAAACAAAATCCATCCTGCAAACTTAGTTGTTGGGCTTTTTATTATTCTCCTGTTTTGAATATTGTGGTAACTAAGTGCATTTTGGCTGCTGCTAAGCTAATATGCAACCCAAAATCTCATTATAGTGTTAGGATGTGTCAGGGATTCACTTCATAATACCTTGTTAGCTACTGCCAGTTTGATATCAAAGGTTTCATCAAGCCAGACGGACTAGGTCCTTGTGCAAAGGCAGAAGGTAGCTCAACACTGTTAAAGATGCATTTGGATTAATGTGTATTCTTCATCACAACTTCTGAATGACTACTAAGTATTTACTAATTCGTTTTATGAAAAATCTACCTTTGTATGCTTTTCATACATTGAGAGCGCTCATACATGTCTAAATTCTTATGTTTGCGGCGATTCAATTTGCTGAGCTCAATAAGATCAAGGGAATGCATCTGCTTGTAGAAAATCTGGAGTAATTCTTAAGGTTTCTACTTTTTGTCATGCTAAGATGCCAGGGAAAACTAATTTTTTGTTTCGTTTTCTCTTCTTGAGCAATTTCATTCTTCCCTTATAGCTTTTTTGTGCTAGTTTATAATTCTGCCTAACTTTCTTGTCAGAGGATTTAAGGGTTCTAATCTGATTACGTATTTGTTTCTTACATATTTCCCTAAGTGAAAGAGCATCTATAAACGTTTTACTATACTTTAACTCATTGGAATTGGGTAATACTGTTTACTTTCTTTAACTTTGTAGGTAGATTTGATTTTCTTTTATGCTTATGGAGAACATGAATTTGTTGAGGGCTCAATTGCTGATCTTGGAAGTTGGAACCACTCAGGTCAGTGTTTTGCTTTTGGGGGCTACTAGAGCTGATTAGTGGTTTGATTCTCTTAATCTCACTCGAACAAATTGTTTGTTCTTACTATGCTAAACTGTTAGATTTTGGGCTATTCTTGTCAAGAAAGGGGCATGCTGATTTGGTATTAAACCCCCAATGTTTTAATGAAAAGTATATGTATTATGATTATTGTTCAAATAGAAGGTTTCAATGTCAGAGGAGGGAATTTGGAATTCTAAACATTAACCTTTGAATAGAATATTGCCGCTTTTCATCTTTTTTCCATTTGCATGTACAAAGCTTGAATAGTTTTAGCATTAATTTAGGAAGGGAATGGCTGGATATCTTATTTTCCTTTCTTTAGATAAAATTGAAGGCAGCATTCTATGAGGGGAACAAAACCATGAATCCAATGATTACTGCCACGAGTCCATCGACATATGGGTCACCGCAGAATTTAGACATTACCAACTAGGCAAAGAGAAGGTGACCATGAGGGTGTTAGTGAGGATTTCTTGGTGCCGTTTTGTTCTTTTATAGTGAAATTCATTGAGAATGGTTGCACTGACCAAGTGAGCACTGTAGCAGTTTGAGGTTTTTACACAAGCCTGCTTGCTGCTATGTGCATGTCTGTCCAATTTCTGGAGTTACATAGGGATATCCAAAAGCATGAAATCCCTACAATGAACTTGAGGGCTCTATTCAGTCATTGCAAGCAAGATCTGGAAGCAGTGTGACTTAAAGTTGCTTATTATGTCTATAACAAACTGCATCTGGAAATAGCAGGTATCTCCCTTCAACAAGATCTGTTTTGTTGTCTTGTCTTTTTTTTTTCCCTTCCTAAACATCTTATGCACTTGTATTATTTTGCCAATTGGATGAAAGAATATGATTCCTTGTGACTCCTAACCCATTTTTCTTCACCTGAATGCATTTTGCCTTACAAAAAGCAAAAAAAATAAAAATGCATAAAACAAATCAATTTAAAATGAAAAACATGAATAGAATATAAGGTCCAAGGCAGGAAGGTCTTGGAGGGTGTAAATTTTCTATTTTATAGACAAATACAAGATCCTTTTGAGACTTATTGTCTTGTGGTAGATTTCCTTACAGTTAACCTGTTATTACATGGATTTTGTACAAGATATATCAACTTTTTATTCAGCGCTAACAGAATCTAACCTATTAATTAAATGTTCATACTCCAGCATAGCTTCCTTCATAGCTGATCTGCCAACTGAGGAAATTGTTTCAACAGCCATGTTACAGCCCTGATGGCACCCTGTACACTCCAATATGACAAAAAGTTAATCCCATTCTTTATGATATCAAGTCATGTTTTACAGTAATTACCTTTCAAATATATATATAAATTCCATTAGCATACATACATTGTATCTATAAGAAGCCTTGCTTATGAGACAGTGAGATCTGATATTTGGTTTGGGGTTATCCAAAGCTTTAAGTACGTTAGAAGAACAAAATGTGTGCGATTTACATACCAAAGCTGCCTCCCCAGGTTTGATTGCAGGTTCAACAACGTCTCGTCCATAACTGCTTGCAAGAAAAGAATCACTCAACCAGTCATTAAATGCAACCGAACATTTGACTCATTAGTTAGTACATTGTTTAAAAAAGTAAGTTCGAATCCCCTTACTCAAATCCAAAAGCCAGTATTAACATGAAAGATATCGCTTACATTATTTGTCTTTTGCCATCCACCATCTCTAGCCTATAAAAGCTGCAACCTTTGCTAAAAGGGAAAGCCCTTCCCTTCCATTCTGTTAAACAATAACAACAATAATAACTATGTCAAAGGGGAAAACAAAACATTATTAACAGTTTGTGGAGAGGAAGAAGAGAAAATGTTAAAGATGGTACCTAAATGCCAAGCAACTCCAACAGCACATGAATCCTCAGCAGAGATATCATCAATAACAAATTGGAGGTCCATGCTTATAGAATCAATGAAACTTTTAAAGAAGTCTAAAATTGCCTGCAACCATTATTGAAAATCTTGAGTCTGTTATTTGGAAAAATAAATTTACATAAAGCCCTATGTTTCCATTCAATTCATTACATATTATTCAAAAGATTATTAGCAGTTAAATGGGCACCTGATATTATTCTTAGATGTCACAAATGTCTATCATGATTAATTATGATTAAATTGATATTCCCAATTTTAACAACTATGAAAATTCAATTTTTTTTTATAAATTATTATATAAAGATTAAATCAAGAGAGCACTTCACAAAGTTTTCAAATTTCCTTGAAAATATAATAAAATTTTAAATGATAAAAAAAGACCAGAAAAAGAAAAACCACAAACTCACGTGAGCTGCATATGCATGGAGACCGAAGGGAATGTAGAGTTTAGCAATTGGCTAAGCTACCTTGCGACCAACGAATGGACGAGGAAAGATAAGGTCCTCGTACACGCATTTCTCCGCAATTAAGGGCTCTACCGATGCCAGATCTCGGGCGTTGATTCCTGCGTAGAACCTCGTAACGACCTCCGTCGCATCGTCCTGTGATTGTGATGGAACGATGACAGCCGTCTGATTGTCCAACGGTGATGATGACGAGGAGGAAGAGACCTTGATCACGGTGCGTGGGGTCCATGCTTCCTTTCCTGCTCCTCCAGGGGATAAAATTGTGGGCAATTAGCGTTGTTGAGTAAGGCGAAGCTTCGGTGAAGTTGGGGAGAGTTGAGGTTAGAGAAGGGAGGGGGAATATTCTGGAGCTGACCAGCATGATGATATACACTTTTTCTTTTTTGATTTTTGTTTTATATATATATATATATATATTCTCAGAAAAAGCGTTACAAATGGAAGGACATGCAACTCTCCATTTTGTCTTTATTTTAGAGACATTATATACATCTTATATATATATATATATACGAGTTTGTATTTTTAAATTGAATTAAAATCTTTCACTCTCTTAATTAAGAATTTCAAATAAAATCTTTTTTGTATTAGCGTTTTTTTTAAAGGATTTGATTAAATAAGATTGTGTTTGGATGGTACTTTTTTTTTTTCAAAATGAAAAACAAGTCCGGATACAAAGATAAATAAGATTTTATATGTTTTTTAGATAACAAAAATACATGATTATGCTTCTATACGGACTAATTATATTATAATCGATTTTATCTTGTAACTATTTATCCATATTAAATCAATGAAAATATTATTTTTGTACTTTCTATTACTTTAAATAACTTTTTAAATATTTAAAAACAAATAACAAAGTATATATCAGCCAAACGAAATCTAACCAACTCATAATAGACTGTTGGCTAACATTCTAATAAATTGATATAAACGATCATAGTAATTATTAAATTTAGAATAATTTTTAATTATTATTTATCCATTATGGCAATAAGATTATTTTAATTATCTATTGTTTTAAAAAAAATCCTCAATATATATTTTTCTAAATAAGTTCAACCATTGTTCTTCTTGGTTTCTTTATTTTTTTATTTTGATTTATGATTTGTATTTTTCTTTTTTACATGTCAGTTTCGTTGTTGCATGAATCTTTCTTTGTTCTATGATTTTCTTTTTATTTTGATTCGTGACTTTTGTGTTGCTTTGGTTTTACTTTCGATTTTCCCTTTCATAGGCTCATGGTTTGATTTTTTTTTTCTATAGGTTCTATTATTCAACTTCTATTTCACTATTATTTTTCAGGTTTGATTTTTCTTTTACTTATTCTTATGTAGTTTTTGTTTACATATGCTTTTGTTTTAAAGTTTTTTTATTTATTCTCAAAAGTTTTTTATGGGTTTTGTGTTTTCGGGAGGCCACGGCATTTCCGTGCACGGATCTAGAATTTTCTTTTCTTCATTAGAGTGTTCTCTTGCTTTCTCTTTTGCTTAGAGGAAGAATTTAGAGAAAGAATGAAAGAATGGGGTTAGGAAAGAGGAGAGATAGAGCACAAGTGAGAGTTAAGGATCAAAACTAGAAATACAAATATAAATTCAAATTATTTATTTTTTTAATTGATTGAACAGATTAGATAAAGATAAACTGGCTTCTTTTTCTTATTTTTCTCCTTTCTTGTCCATCTTATTGACTTGCCCATTGTTTTATTTTTTTAATTATTTATTTTATTTATTTAATTTTAATTTATGCATTAATTCAAATTTAGGAAATTAGTTTAAGAAGTGGTAAGAATGAAAATAAAATAATTAATTGAATAATTAATTCCATGATTTTCTGTTTATCCAATTTTTATTATTTGAGTTTTTTTTTTTTTATAATGTTCTTGCTTTTATATAGAAAGTAAAAACCTTTGGTGTAAGTTTCTAATTTCCTTTCTTTTTATCTCATTTGATTTGTGTATTCAAGTATTATTATTTAGATTATTTATTACTTTTATTTTTATAATGTTATTACTTGTATACAGAAATCAGAAACCTTTCAAGTAAGTTTCTAAATTTTTCTTTTCTTTTTATCTCATTTAATTAAGTGTATAGTTATACTTATCTATTGTAAACAACAAGCTATGAGATTTTTGCTTTGTTTGTAATATTTTCATTATGTTTCTTCTATTTCATTGTCACAATTAGTTTGGATTGTGATATCTGATCTAACTTCCTAAACCTATATTTTCATCCATTATCTCTAGAATTGGACTTTGCTATTGATTTCAACTATCGATACCCTTTTGGAAGTTTTATAAAATTGTGAAGGTATTTCTATCTTTTTAGTGTGGTCTACATATTTTATGTTATTTTTGTTGCAAATATATCTATTATTTGATTTTTTACTTTATGAACATATTTGTTTTTTTACTATGCAATTCCTTTGACGTTTCAATTGAAATGTTGTGTTTTAAGCATAGTCTGTGCTCATTTTTTTTACTTTTTTACCATGATGTGTAATTTCTTTAATGTTTTTGTTGAAATGCTATGTGTTAAGCATAGTCTGCAGCTTCTATGGCATTTCTAATATGAATTGTAAACTAAACAAACTTACAAAAAAAAATAATTTTAGTTTGTTGTTGATTGAAATTGTTGAGGCCCTTTTAAGATTTTTATTTAATTATGAAGGTATTTTTATCTTTTTCATTATGAGCATAATCTACAACTTCATCGAACTTTTTATAGAAATCATAAACTAAATGAACTTACAAAAAAACTAATGTATGGCAGCTTATCATGGTCTGTAGTTTTTATAATATTTATGTTGGTACCTTTATCTTTTTAGCATGATATACAGCTACCATGACATTTCTGCTTCCTTTGTAGTAGTTTTATTATGCTCCTTCTATTTCATTACCGTAATTAACTTGTATTGTTAAACCTCAATTTTCATCCACCATTTCTGCAACTAGAGTTTCTTGTTGCTTATAATTGTTGAGATTTTGTGATTAGGTTCTCTCTCTTGGCAAGTTAAATGAAATTTTACTAACTATTAAGAACTTTCTTTCAATCTGTATTCTACATTCATAACAAAAAATGGTTGACTTTGTAATTTGTTTTCTTACTTTCAAGCTTAATCATATGATAGTTAATATATAGTCAAGTGCGGTGAAAGTAAAATCTATCCAAATATTACTTTACAATTAATTATAATTTTTTATTTTTTTACTTTGTTTCCACCTCAATAATCATTCACTACTTCATGAGCAAAGACTTATCAAATTCAAGGTTTTATGAGTAATGGAATGCTTATTGTCACTATTAGGAAAGAAGTTTCAAAGAGACCAAATGTTAGGGTCGATGAAATCACTAAGTAAAGTCACTTATCATGTATTGTATGTATTCCTAAATTGTATACTACAGTCTACATTCACAACTCTTAAATAGATTACCACTTAAACAATAATGCAACTTTAGACTTTTTCTGTTTACATTGTAGTTAACAACAATTATGCAACTTTTGACTTTTTCAATACAAATTGTAGTTAACAAATAGGTTTATGATTGCTTGTGTAAAGGAAGCATCATATAATTATTGAAATGTATATATATTTCAACAATTATTGTTTTAATAATATTACACGGGTGCATCGCACAAGCATACTCTAGTTAAGTTTATAAACCTATGAACTAAAGAAATAGTTGGTTTCCCTAATCTAATCTAACCTAACCTATATTGATTCTAACATACATATTCTTTAAAGTGTGACACGTGGGTTTGTCATTTTAAAATTTTGAGGTACATTTTTTGAGTTTTCAGTTTCTTTTTCTTTCTTCTTCCTCACCTTGCTCCTTCTACCCATGCTTGTTATCTCATTCTTAAACTGCTCAATCTCTAAATTAGTGACACCTTTGTTTCCTTCAACAGTTGTTTAAACCATCATTGTTTTCTAATGGAGAGAGAAGAAGAAGAAAAAAAAAAAAGAATGATGGCAAAGAGAAGGACAAAGAGCAAAAATAGAGGAACGCTAGACAGGAGAATGTTAGAACGTAATTTCATGCCAATTGAAAAGGGAAAGAAAGAAAAAAGAGTGGAAGGAAAAGAAATCTATGTTTGTTTGATCAACTATTCATCATTTAGCTTTTTAGAGGTAATTACTTTTAAAATTTTGAAAAACATAATATGCATAAATGAGGGTAAGAAGTATTTTACCTTTTTTTGTTGGGTTTGACATATTTTTATTTCAATTTCATTTTTCATTTTTAATTATACTCTAATGTTGAACTATGCATGTATAATTCAAACAAAAAAGAAACTAATGCATGTATATCATTGCAAAAACGAGGGTCAAAATTGTTTTATTAGCTAAACTACTTTAGTTCTATGTGGAGGGATGTTCTACTTGTTAATGTTGTTTCATAGATACTATTTCTAGATTTGAGAAGATAAAAAAAGGTTGTTTGTGTAATATGAACAATTGAGTGAGCATTAAGCAACAAACTCTATGTCCCTTTGTCTTAATGAAACCTGTTTCTACTAATTTGAAATTGGTTGGTATCAAGGAAGAACAAGAAAAGCTTGATATCTGAGCAAGAGAAATTCTGTGCTGATAAAATTGCTCAGTTGGAGGAGTCCTAGAAAAAAAAAGAAACATGTAATTAAATAATAAAAATTTAGTAGTTGAATACATTCTACTTTTCCCCCGACTTGTAGAGTTGTAATATCCATTTTATGTTTTAACAATATGCAAAATGATAGAACTTTCAGTATTTTGAGGAAAACTCTAGGTTCTTTTGTGGACACTGGCTCAAATGAAGATTGAAAGCTTTGTTTCAATATGCAAATATGGAAAACATTTTATAATTTCTTATATATCTGATTTGTGAAAATTTGAAAAGTTTAAGAAGCTATAGAGTAAAAAGACATTTATGCATTGCACCAATTCCCTAAATGTTGGCATATTTCTAACAAGACAAGAGATATTAGTGATTTTGCTATTATAGAGTAGTGTCTATGAGGTGGTCAAGATTATAGAAGCTTTTTTCTATTATGGTCATGTTTAAAGCTACTACTTTTGCTATATTGAACTAAGATCAGTCAATTTAAGTGTGCGAAAAACATTGTAGTTGATCTCATTAATTTATACGATCATTTTTTTGTATCTACTGGTGAATGTAAGGCCAAGGTAATAGTAGCTAGGTTGGCATATTTTGATTGTGATTACTGGCCTGGAGCTACTGGAGATCTAATTAATCAACTTTATCGAGAAGATGGAAGAAAGGTAAACAAAAAAGGAACAACAACAAAAAAATCATAGCTAAAAGGGCTTTAAAAGTATCTGGTCAGTCTCATCTCTCTAATGACACATCAAAAGACCTACTACTGATGTACAAA